ATCAGCCTGAGTGGAAAGCAAAGAAAAAAAGGAAAATTATGATCGTTGAAATTAACCTCATAAAATTACTGCCCAGGAACCTTTCATGATAATGATGGTAAAATACATATAACATAAAATTTACCATTTTAGCCACTTTTAAAAGCATAGTTCAGTAGCATCAGATAATTCTCAACCACCGCCACCATCAACATCCAGAACATCCCCAATTAAATCTTCCCCAATAAAAACTCTGTACCCATTAAAAACTCCCAATTCTCTTTCTCCTCACAGCCCAATTTTAACTTAGCTCCTTGCCTGAAGGTACATACCACCATAAAAGTTTAAAAATAACTGGAACAAAAGTATACCTTGGTCCCAAAATAACTCACACTTAGCAACTGGCACCCTGTTCTGAAACTGCATGAGAAGTAGCACAAACGCAGCAAGAGGAAGCAGGAAATGTGTGTACCTCTTTGAGGTCACTGGTTCGCAGGTAGCCATTCTTCTGCAAGATGGACCAGGCTATCTCTGTGTCATTCACATTCATCTGGCAGCCATAGGTCTCAAGGTAGACTGCAATGAGAAGGAAATCCTATGACAGGGACACAGAGACCCGATGTCTTAAAAGGTCTCCTCTCAAAAGTCCCAAAAATTTCTGAAGCAACTGGTTATCCAGTAAGTTCATGATGTACCCCTAAATCAATGACAATCTTTCACAACAAAATAATATATCATATATACACAGACCAATTATAAGCCATGTCATTAAAATATGGGGACACCATATACCTGAGAATCAAGGGAATGTGGTTTTTAAAACAATTAGAAAAGGAAGGACTACCTTAATAGTGTTGATTATCAACCTGGAAGAAAAACAAATTTAATCCACACATTAACTCCATCTTCTCAAAATGAGGTTCTCCAGCCTCTGATAATAGCAGTAGTGGCCATACAGTATATAAAACCACAAATTAAAAATGTAGCATCCTGGGCCTCCCCTGGTGTCGCAGGTGGTTGAGTGCCGCGCTGTGAAGCTGTCCACAGCCTCTGCAGCACCATTTCGATCCCGGTCGGCGGGCAAGGGTCCAACATGGCGCAGCAGACCTCTCCTGTCTCACCCACTGCTCCCCTCAGCAGTGTAGTTCCTCAGTCTGCCTGTTCTGTTCCCCGCTCTGTCTCTGGTGAATCCTCTCACCCTCCCACGCATCTGGCCACTACCCCAGTTCTTGTATAAATGAATAAATAAATCTTTAAAAAAAAACAAATGTAGCATCCTCCAACAGAAACATCAAACATCTTACATGAAATAAAACATAGCTACATTATGATGTAAAATACTTTGCACAAACCCTGAAGCACATGAATTTCACACTCTGACAAGCCCCTTCAAGCTATATTCCTAGATCAACCCTCACCCACCGATACACTTTAATCCACAGACTCAAATTCCAATTTGCATTAGAAGTAGAATGACAAAGAACCATATGAAAACCAATAGAAAATAGCAGTAATTTTTTTAAAAGAAGAAAACATCAGTTTTCTTGAAATTTTTCTTGGTGCATATCTCTTGCCTTAATACAGAAAACCTCAATACTGATGTGAGAGAGGAATTGATGAGTACACAAATAATGAAGGACCACAAAATACCTGGCAGAAGTCATAAGATACACATATGCCTAGATTTACTATTTTAACTCTTAGAGATTTAGTCTGCAAAAATATTTAGTAAAGCAGTATTATATCTACATCTATACATGTACATGCATATAGTATATACACATGTATATACACACATATGCAGACACCTATCATTTTTTATGATATAAAAAAATGTTTGAAATAAACTAATGTCCAACTATAGGAGGCAGGCTGAAAAACATCAGGGTACAACAAAATGTGATATTTTACACTAATTTTTCAATTTTTAATTATGAAGACTACAGTATTTGGAAAAATGCCCAATAAAAATAACAACTTACAAATAAGCTGTACCATATGACTGCAACCAAATCTTTAAGAACGATGATGGGAAACATGTTTTTAAAGCAGGACAAAAGAGGAAATGTTTAGTTGTCCTTTATGTTTCTTCAAATTTTTAAGGCATTTTAAACTAATTGCATAATGTTTCTATCTCTACCTAAGCATAAAGTGTGAATTACTACAGTACCAACTGTGAAATCTGCCTTATGACTTAAGACAATTCAGAACAGAAAGTACTAGATTTCCAAAGGTAACCAAAGAAAGGACACCACACACTACTATCCCCCAGTATTACCATGAGTTTCTTTATATTAATGTTACTTGGTGAAGTAGCCTTCCCATACCGTTAACCCCCCAAAGTCGGGTCTACAATAAAAGAAGCTAAATAATCAGCCCATTATGCCAGAAAGAAGTAGAAAACCTAGAGAGACAAAAAGTAAAACCAACCTTTTCTCTGCCTTCCTAAAAGTTCATCCACAGTGAGATAAGGAGGTGGGTCCTCCACATCTGGAGAAGACACCTTCTCTTGAGGAGCTGAAGAACTTAAAAAATGCTGAAAAGATGGTCCAGTGGCCAGCCTGGAACTGAAATCCTTCTGAACTCCATCCTCCTGCTGCTTCTCCGGACTGCGATATGTAGGGCTAGAATGACTGCTATTTGTCCGGAAAGTCCTAAGCAGCAACCACGACACAGAAGCTAAGGGGCCCCACCTCAGAGACCTCTGCACTGGGACGACACACTGTAAGGGATGCATGGTGCTAAATAAACAGTCCGATATCTGGAGAGGGGGGAAAAGGAGAGACATCATCAACACTGATTGAACATTACATACAGGGGACTCCCCTCCATACTTCAAGCATATAGGCACTTTAATGCACTTCGCAAATGTTATATTTTTTATAAATCGAAGGTTTGTGGCAATCTTGCATTGAGTAAGGCTATCAGTTCCATTTTTCCAACAGCATGTCCTCACTTCATGTCTGTGTTATCCTTGTGATAATTCTTGCAATATTTCACACTTTTTAACTATTATTGTATCTATTATGGCGATCTGTGGTGTTACTATTAAATTGGGGGCATCAGGAACTACGCCCCTGTAAGCCAGCAAAGTTAATGGGTATTGTGTTCTGACAGCTCTTCAGGTCTCCCTATTCTAAGACACATTAACATTAGGCCACTGAATAACCTTACAATGGCCTCTAAGTTTAAGTAAAAGGAAGTGATAAAAATTTAATGAATTTATGCATGAGTAAAGAAAGTGGTTTCTAGAGATTGAATGTACTCCTGGTTGAAGGTGCTATAAACGTTGCTGAAATGACAACAAAGAATTAAGAATATGACATAAACTCAGTTGATAAAAATAGCAGCAGATATTGAGAGGATTGACTCCAATTTTGAAAGAAGTTCTACTGTGGGTAAAATGCTACCCAACAACACAGGATACAGTGAAATCTTTCATCAAAGGAAGAGTCAACTGATACAACAAAAGTCACTGTTGTTTTAGTGCCACTGCCATCCCAGCCTTCAATATCCACCACCATGGTCAGTTAGTGGCCATCACAAAACACAAAGAGGCAAGATCCTCCAACAGCAAAAAGATTATGATTCACTAAAGGCCCAGGTGATGGTTAATATTTTTTAGCAAGTGATTCTTAATTAAGGTATGTATTGCTTTTCCTTAGACATAATGCTATTGCACACTTAATAGACTGCAGTATAGTAAAAACTTAACTCTCACATGCACTGGCAAACTAAAGAAGAATTGTGACTCACTTTATTGCGATATACACTTTATTGAAGTGGCCCACAAGCAAACCGCAATATCCCCAAGATATGGCTGTGTTAATACATTTAAAGACACTATTAAAAACCCAACTTAGGGGTCTTGCTGGTGGCGCTAGTGGTTAAGCGCTGCACTACGAAGCAACCCGCAGCCTCTGCACCACGAGTTCCATCCTGGCCGGCCAGGGAGAAACCCACAAGGCGCAGCAGACCTCTCCTGAGTCTCCCGCTGCTCCCCTCAGTACTGTATTTTAGTCAGTCTGCCTGTTCTGCTCCCCAATCTGTCTCTGGTGAGTCCTCTCACCACCACCACCACCCCCGCATCTCTGGCTTGTACCCCAGCTCTTGTATGCATAAATCAATCTTTAAAAAAAAACAAAACCCAACTTAGCATACTGAAGATAGTGCGTCTTCAGCAACTGCACATTTGCAATCCACACTCTCTTTCATGGCGGGTATAGAGCATTGTGTTAAGAGTATGGACCCTGGAGCAGAGTCTGATGGTGCTGCTGCCTGGCCAGCTAACGTAGGACACCTGGGAGTTTCCACTTCTTTATGTGTGAAATGGAGTTATCTCTGTGTCTGTTGTATCAAATTGGACAAAAACGAAAAAAATACTTGCATACACAATGGAGGGTGTCACTGTAGGGGGCTCAGAAATTTATCGTGGGTAATAACGATGGCGACAACCTCATCTCAACAAAAATAAGCATAACCAAGAAAACATCCCAAACATTTTGCTGGGTGGCCCACAATGTGTCAGGCGTGGTGCTAAACTTCCCCCTACATTAGCAGATCTAATCTTCACAGCCACCCTATGAGGCGGGTTCTACTATCACTCCCAGTTCAAAGGTAAAGAAGCTAAGGCAAGCGGGGAAGAGGGTGACTTGAGCCAAATCCACAGCGGAGTAGGCAGGGGACGGGGGAAAAATCTGGACAGGGCCCGCGCCGGAACCACCGAGCCGAACCCATCGTCCCTCGAAGACCGCGCGGGTTCAGGCTCCGCCGCCCCCCATGCTCTGGAGAGTGTGCGGCTCACCTGCGCCCCGCGCCACTCAGCGGCCGCCGCCCGCGGGCCCAGCACTGGCGGCACAACTTGCCCTCAGCTGGCGCAGACCCCTCAGCGAGCCCGCGGACCCCACAGCCGGAACACGCGCGACTTCCGTTCCCTTGGGACTTCCGTCCGGAATGACCCAACGGAAGTGCCTTCTCTATACGGTCCGGGTGGATCCAGGTTCCGGGTGGATCCAGGTTCCGGATCCTTTGAAGAACGTCCCACTCCTAGCGGACAGGTGGCAACTGAGCGTTTGCAGTGTGGTGAGTTAAGTGTGCTCTTCGTGTAAAATACACAATGGATGTCGAAGAAAAATTGACAGATAGCGCATTAATAATTTATATTGATTGGGTGTTGAAGTAATATTTGTGATTACGTTGGATTAGAGAAATATATAATTTAAAATAATTTCACCTGCTTTTTTTTACTTTTTTAATGTAGGTGCTGGGAAATTTTAAATTTCATACGTGGCTCACATTCCGTTTCTATTGGACACCAATAATCTGTAGGTTAAAGACTTATCCATTCACTTCTCCAACCTGAACCCCTTCCACTTGAGGTTACAATCCTATACTTAAGCTGCCTACCTGGCACCTCTGCTTGGATGTCTAATCACTATCTCTATCTTAATACAGAACTCTTCGTCTGCACACATATGGCCACCCAAAATCTGTTCCTGCCCAGTCTGGCCCATCTCAGTAAAAGGCCAGTTGCACTAGGAGAAACGGAAGAGTCATTTTTGTTTTCTTTCCCTCAGTCTCCACACTCAATCTGTCAGCAAGTCCTGTCAGTTCTAACCTCAAAATGTCTCAAATCTGTCCACTTCCCACTCTTCCCATCTTTCTGTGCTATAACTGTAGCCCAGGTGATCACTTCATCAAAAATGACTGCATTACCCTCTAACTGATCTCCTATAGGCTATTTCCTACACAGAGACTAAGAGAATGTATTAGTTTGCTTATTTTATTACATTAACACCAACTTCCTGTCTCCGGAACTATTTATTTTTCACCATGGCAATTCCCTCTTTACTCTCAGTCTTGGCCTCTTAGAATCACAGGACAGAGGAATTCTAGAGCTGAAAGGAAGCCACTTTCAAGGCTGCCAATGTGGGAGTGTCAAAGTGAACCCAGGTCTCTCAGCCTTTTAGAACTGGCTTTCAAATCTGGACCTTCCTCTATTAGCCCCAATGGAAGGTGTCCCCTTCCCCTTTGATAGCCAGTCAGGAAGCAGCAGGTCAGTACTGATTACTTATGAGACCAAACTGGGAGCATGAGGGGTATGCTCTGATGCCTGTCATGCTGCCCCCACCTGCACACATGAACTCAACCACCATTTCCAATATACCCTGCCCCACACACATGCCAGTCCATATGGAAGCCACAGACCACTTCACACCACCACCCCTCCTACACCCACTACCTTCCAAACACTTCATTTGCCGTGTTGTGCAGTCTTGGACAGTTTTGTGTATTAGACATTGAAGGTGATTTTAGCCTCAGCTACATGAATTGTTTTCATCCAATAGAACAAGAATAAGCATAATGCAGACAGAGGATATAAATGTGCTTGTGCTATTTGCTTGTCTTTGAACTCCAGCGACATGCCTTGAAAAGCACATTCTCTGGAAGCTGAAGCCCCAATTTCATACTGTGCTCCAGAAGGAACAGAGTAGAACTGAGCCCAGTTCACAGCCTGGAGCAAAGCTACCCAGCCAAGCCCAGTTTCAAATCTTCAAACTGCAATCAACATGCAGCCCAAAAGGCATGGAAATAAATGCTTATTGCCTTGACCGCTGAGATTGGAGTTGTTGTTGTTTTTCCCACAGCATTATTGCAGCAATAGTTGATTTTTAGCATGCCCCTCTGATGGACATCAGCTTCAGTGTCTCTCCCGAGAGAAATGTCCCTTAACCCTTTAGAGCAGGTCAGGTCAACTCTGGGCCCCTCTGCTGTTATGTCTGTCCAATTTGAATCACACACTTGGTTGTGGGAGCTTCCACTAATTTTCTTTCCCCTCTGCATGGTGACTTGTCAATCTCACTCTTAGCAAATCAGTCCCTTGTCCCAGAGAGTAGCACAAAGTGTGTCCTACACATTTTCTAGATGCACAATGAATTTGTTACCAGGCAAAGAATCTAAAAACTGTCACTGGGTTAGTACCTTTCTCACCAGTTCTGGGTCCAGCCACCTGCCACCACAAATGTTGGTGACGCCAACAGTGTAGAAAGAGAGGGAGAGCTATCAGAGTGAAGGAAGAGGGAGAAGTTCCAGTTACTGACCAATGGGGCAAAGTACAGCTGCAGCTAAAGGAACTGGCAGGATGCAGCAGAGGTCTCCCCCTCCTGAGTTTGCTTTACACCCCATCCGGCAGGGCAGCAATCATCCACAGCAGCTCAGAGGACACAGAAGTCTCCCAGCAATGCCTGCTGTTAAAGGCTCCCAATATGACCATTCCCCCTTCCCAGCAGCCCCCTCATTCAGGATGGCAGGGGCCAAGTGTAGACCAAGGCACTGCTCAGGCATAGTCTCCTTGGTATGGGCAGTTTTTGGATGTCAGGGGCAGGGTATATTGGAAATGGTGGTTGAGTTCATGTGTGCAGGTGGGGGCAGCATGACAGGCATCAGAGCATACCCCTCATGCTCCCAGTTTGGTCTCATAAGTAATCAGAACTGACCTGCTGCTTCCTGACTGGCTATCAAAGGGGAAGGGGACACCTTCCATTGGGGCTAATAGAGGAAGGTCCAGATTTGAAAGCCAGTTCTAAAAGGCTGAGAGACCTGGGTTCACTTTGATACTCCCACAGGAGGCAGAGTTTGGCCCCTGATCCTGGTAGAAAGATTGGTGCAGTGTGTGTCCAGCCCAAGAGGCTGTGCCAACCACCCCAAGGTTGGCCCAGGGTGCAGGGCTTAACTGTACCACGCCACTCCAACTAATAGCCAGATTGAGGGGCAGGTGGATGGGTAATCAAGACTGGAGTATCTTACTTAACTGCATTTCCCGGGTTTCTAGAATAGCTCTGGCTGAATAGTATGTGACTTCTTGTGGGTCTCAGTATCCTCATCTGGAGGTTTGATTAGAACTGCTTAGTTCAATACAATAACCACACACCACATGTGGCTACTGAGCACTTGACATGTAGCTAGTATGAATAACGAACTGAATTTTATCTAATTTTATTGCCATTTAATTTTAATATAAAAACCAATGATCAATTCAATTATTGGAAAACTAGTAAATTTGGAACAACTTGGGTACGTGAATCATTGCTAAACTTCAAAAAAATGTTCATTACATATCTTATTTTAAATAATTTTTATTGACGTAACGTTGCATTATAACACTATATAGGTTTTATGTGTATCATTATAAACCAACACATATACAACTGTAAGATCATCAATAAACTAATCCATTCTTCCAATTATTTCTTTTATGAAATCGAAAAACAAATCAAGAATTTCCAATAAAAATTTGGCACCTGAATAGAAGTGTGCTGTAGGTGTAAAATATACACCAGATTTCAAAGATTCTATATGAAAAAAGGAATGTAAAACATTGATGTTTATATTGTGTACTAAAGTGATATTATTTGGGCCTGGTGGGCTAAATAAAATTCTCATTGAAATTATTTTCATCCCTTTTTACTTTTTTTAATGTGGCACACATTGTATTTCTAATGTGCTGGGCCAGAAACTCTGTAAGATGGACAAGGCTCTGAAGTCAGAAAGACCTGGTTGGAATCCACACCCAGATTTTTCATAGCTGTATGACTTTGGGTAAGTCATCCCACCCCTCTGAACCCCAGTGTGGAGACCTGTGAAATGGAGATCATCATGCCCACTGCATAGGCGTGTGGTGACGCTGAGAGAAGGAAATGCATGCACAGGACCTGGCAGGTAGCAAGACTAAGTGTGACCTCACTACTGTGGTCACTGTGGCTTTCTAGGCAATGTAAGCAAGTAGGTAGTTTTAAACACGGCAAACTCACGTCCAGCTGGCATGTTCCAACTTCCAAAGCATGTTCCACGAAGCATACTCCAAGTGTCCTCCCTCCTACAGGAAAGGGGCCCAAAGCTCTCTATAACGATTTTAAAATAGGTCCACAAATTCCTTGACATTCCTTTCTTCAAGAGGTGGAGCCTAGCCACCCCAGAGTGTGAGCTGGGCTTAGTGACTCACTTCTAAAGAGTGAAATAAACCGTTGTGATGGTATGTGACATCCAGACTGGACCCTAAGACACCCTATAGATTGCTTTTGGCTCTCCCTTCTGTGTCCCTTGCTCTGGGAGAAGCCAGAAGCCAGCTATCTTGTTGTCCTTACTCAAGCAGCCCTACAGGTGAGACCCAGGTGATGAGGATCTGAGACTTCCTGCCAGCAGTCATGTGAGGTAGCAATACTGGAAATGGATCCTCTAGCCCCACACAAGTCCTCAAATGAATGCAATCACGGCCAACATCTTGACTGCAGTCTCATGAAAGATCCTCATGAAAGGTAAGAACCACCCAGGTTATACCCTTTCTGACTACTGAGCCACCAAACCTAAAAGATAATAAACACTCATTTTTTTCAGCAGTCAAATTCTGGGGTCATTTGTCACAGAACACTAGATAACCAGTATGCTCACTGCCATTGAAGGCCTGCTCTTCTCCAGGGCCAGGGGCCCAAGTCCTGGGTCTGGCTCATCCTAGGACTATAGAGGCTGCCACAGGATCCACAGGCCAAGGCACAAACCACAGACACTAGACCAGGCTGCCTATGTGCTCACAGGCTGTTTATTTATCCAAGAGTAAGGAGGAGAAAGGGTGAAGAGAAAACCAGATGCCCCAAAGTGATGGAGCTGAGGGGAGAAAGGAACAGAAATGATCCTCCTCTTTCTCTTGTCTTGAACCCCAGGGAACTCCAACTTTAGATGGGGCCTCTGAGGGTGGCTTAGGGGCCTCTAGGAGGCCCGGCAGTTGTTGGCTGGGGTTAGCGTCCCCACAGGGACAGGCCCCAGGCTCGGAATGGCTTCTGTGTACACAAAATATCTCTCTGCAAAAGGCACTGATGGGGAGAGAGAGGCAGAGGGAGGCTACCCCATCAAAGGCAGGATCTGCTGTGACCTGGGTCTGGATCCCAGTCCCTAAGACTATCCCAGCCTCCCTCAGGGGCTAGGTCTCTGTACCCTTGTTCCTTTCATCTCCCGTCCCTCAGCCCAGAGAGGAGCAGTCAGTCCGCGGAGGGCCAGGCAGGCCACGTGCTGCATGCTCTTCTTCAGGGCTGGAACATCTGGTGGCCTCTACGCCAAAAGCCCCAGGCGGGTGACTTTGGCAGAGAGGAAGGAGTGGATGATGAAGACCATGGTTTTGGGGCACGAATGCAGGTCCAGCTGCTGCAGGGTGGATGGAGAGAAGGGTCAGGAGCCCCATCCAGCCTGGTGTGCAGGAGGGTGTTGCCCCCTTCCCCCTCCACTCACAATCTCTCCTTCAGCACCCCCGAAGTCCAGGAAAAGGAGACTGGCCCCGTCGTCAGAGGACATCTGCAGCTTCTCGAAGGGCTGTCGGAGCAGCACAGCTCGGGCTGCACCTGGCTCCGCCGCCCACAGTGTGAAGCCCTTGTCGATGTGCACAGAGAGGCTGCAGGGACGGCCATTCCACGTGCAGGCTGTGGGAAGGGGTAGGTGGGGACAGGCACGCTGGCAACTTAGAGACCACCAGCCCTACCTCCAACCCCCAGGGCAGTTGCAAAAGTGGAACTTGGACACCACCAGGGGTGAGAGGCTTGCTGTCTGTCATGCCAGCTATACATCACCCTCAATGGATCACCCCCACCCCAAAACAGAAAACTATACCCCACCTCTAGTCCCACTTCCACTAACACCAAAAGTGGGAAGGGAGAGCTTAGACTCTGTCATGACAGGAGGCCCATTCCCCACAAAGGCCTCAGCAAGTTCACTAAGCATTGCCCTTGGGGACCTGAGAAACCAGCAGAACTTGCAATTATATATGAATTTCAGGTGAACAATAGAGAATTTGGATATTCTTACGCCAAAGATATTATTTGTTGCCTATCTAAAATTCACGTTTAAAGGGCCCTCCCTGGTGGCGCAAGGGGTTAAGATGCAACCTATGAAGCGATCCGCAGCACTGCAGCATGAGTTCAATCCCCGGCCAGGGAGGTGACCCACATGCCGCAGCAGACCTCTCCTGTCTCGCCCGCTGCTCCCCTCACCAGTGTATTTCAGTCAGTCTGCCTGTTCTGTTCCCCGCTCTGTCTCTGGTGAATCCTCTCACCCTCCCGCGGATCTGGCCTGGACCCCAGTTCTTGTATGCATAAATAAATAAATCTTTAAAAATAAATAAATAAATAAAATTCACATTTAAGTAGGTGCTCTGTATTTTTTCTGGTAACCCTATTCCAAGCGCCCGAGTCTCTCACATCCTCACCAGCATAATCTCAAACCCAGGGCAAGAAAACCCAGGACAGAGTCTCATTACCAAGAGGGCACCTGCACATCCAAGCCAGGGGCCCTCTAGGAAGTTCAAACCCCACTTTCTCTCCCCCTCCTGAAGCATCCTAAAGAAGGAGGCTTGACTGCCTCTGGGGATTAAAGACCTATTACCAGAGAGGCACTCCCAGGTCTCCCCAGCCTACCTGTAGACACCTCCTGCACACCCTCAGCTGCCCGGTGGCAGCCATCCACCAGCTGGCGGGTCCAGGCAGCCAATTCCTGTGGTGACTCCACGCTGAACAGATGAGTGTCCACACCGTGGCGCGTGCCCGTGCGCAGGGCAAATGAGAGCTCTGCATCATAGGGCACTGAGCCCTTGGAGGGGCCTGAGTGTACCAGCCTGGGGCCAGAGGGAGCAGAAGACTGAACATGAGGTCTCACGGCAGGAAATAGTTCCAGGTCAAGTAGTGGGGACCTGGAAAGGGACTCTGACTCCTTATCACCTAATGGGGGGACA